GCAGACAGCTGGAGCCTTCCTGTGGGAATGCCGCGGCCCGAGGGGCGGGGCCCGCCGGGGAGGGGGCGGAGCCTGCTGAGGGAAAGGCGGGGCCCGGCCCAATCGCATTCTGGCGGTCTCTCAGCCAGGGCAGTTAGGTGTGCCTTTTGCCCTTCTTGATCTGTTTCCGTGCTTTTGCACTCATTTTATTTGAAAACTTAGTGAAAAATTTGGTGACAGATTTAGCAAGCCCATGGAAATGATCCGGGTGGAGCTTTGCATGGACATACCCTGAACACAGGCTTTCTCTTTAAGGATTCGCATCAGCTTTCTGTGGGAGTACAGCGCAAGAGAGAAAGGAAGTCATGTAATACTTAAGCAACACAACTTGAAGTTAAATAATATAACTCAAAATGTCATTAGTTGGTAATATGCACAGACTCAGGCCTTGGGATGCAGTTCAAGTGTGAGAAACGGGCAACACAGAAGCAGACAAAAGAAAACAGGGGCGCGGACAAACGGGAGACCTGAGAGAGGGGTGTCTACAGCAGATGAGTGATCGTGGAAGGTGCCAGAGGTTAGGCTAACAACAAAGGGAGCAGGAACAGTCCCCAAGAGCACTCTCACTCCTGACAGCAGCCACAAGTTCGGGGGGTCCCCCAAACCAGACTTAAGTTCAACAATTCGCTAGAGGGACACAGACTTTACTAAAAACTGCAATGCTCACAGTTAGGTTTGTCACAGGGGCAGGAGACAGATTAAGGTCAGCGAAGGGCAGACGTGCATGGGGGGTGTCCGGGCTGTACCCAGTGTGAGGCTTCTGTCATCTTCTCCTTGGGCAGTGAGGACGCATTGCTTTCAAGGCATTGATGTGTGTCAATACACACGAAGCTGCCAACCAGGAAAGCTCACCCAGGCCACCAAATGCTGAGTTTTTATTGATGCTCCATTGCATAAGCGTGATTGATTGATGGATTGCCCTCTTGGTTGATCTAAGTCTCCAGGTTAACTGGTACCCATGTAACCCAAAACTCCCAATTCGAAGCACATCATCACTATCTGGCTAGCCCAAGGCCCCCAGGCAAACAAATACTACATTCCAGGAATAGAGAGCAAAGGACAGACTTCTTTCGGGATAAAGTTAAATTTTTTACTACCACCTCGAAGAGGTGATCTTTAAGCCATGACCTGAGGTGAAGAAGGCAGCCATAAGAACTATACTTGAGAACAGTCTAGACAGAACAAGCAGGGAGTTTTGGATTTCGTTCTGGGTGTGATTTGGTTCTCGGACCACGGGAGGGGAGAAGGGGAAGCAGAGACCAGACAGCTTAGGAGACCGAGGCATAGACTTGGGTGGAGTAGATGCAAGCTTGTCTCTTCTTAATTTATGATTTTGATATGTTTTTCACAATTTAAATCAAAATCAGTAATTTGATGGACATGGGTTGGATAAAAATTCTCCATTTTGACCAAGCAATTAAAATGAAGTGTCAGCAGAGGAAGGGTAGGCAACTGTACAGAGCTTTTCTGAGAATGGAGTTAATAGAAAGGAAGTAAAACTGAAAGGGAGTAGGAAAAAACACTTGGTCCTGGGCACAGCATTTGAGCTCCTGTGTCAGTCAAAGTACCTGAAACCAGTACACTCTAGGATTTTTACGAGCCAATGAATTTCTTCAGTTTGTTCATGTAGAATGAAGAAGCCCTAGTACATTGGTATGAGAATGAAAATGGACACATTACAGATACAGACCACAAGGTAGGTTACTTCTAAAATGCAAAGTCCCAGGAAATAAAGGTCTTTGTTCACTGTTGTCTCCAATCCCTACAAAATTTCTGGCACATTGTAGGCACTCAACACATATTTGTAAAATAAAAGAATGGAAGTCCAGACCAGGGTTTGATCCCAGTTCTGCTGTTCACTCTCCGTGGAACTTTGGACTGTGAAAATGAGTAAAGGGGATCCTCACTGAAATGGAGCAGGGAGACTAGAGGAGAAGCTGTCAGTCAGCATCAATATTGATCCCAACTGGGAGGGAC